TTTACAGTTTTAGGCACATATTTTAGTTAGACATTAATCTCATTTGTCATTTTGTTCCCAAATGTTGCGACTGACAAAACCTTACAATGGCAAAGACAGGAAACCCCCAGATATGCTTGGTTGAACTACACAAACATTACAAAACTATTGTAGTATCCCAGAGAGACTGTGTGGGCCGCAAGTGATGCTGGGTAATGTGGTATTTGTATAGTATTATTGTGTTTGTTACAATGGTTGTGACTGTAGAAATAGGTTATTCTGTGTGATGTCATGTTCAGGTTTGCTGAGGTCTGTGTAGTTGACTGTAAAACTGACACCATGATGTAGGTCCAGTAGGACGACTGAGGTTGTCCCCAGTGTGTTTAAGGGGAAAGCACTTCCTGACAAGGGGGGAAAGAAATGTGTTATCCAAATAAAGTAACTTCACATGATCACGATTCCATCATTTTCTCCTTGCTAGCAAATGATAGCTGCTACATTGGTGTCAACAGTGGGATTACGAAGACTTGCGCAACTCCACAGCTGGTCGGACGAAATAACAGCAGGACGTGTGGCCCACGCTTTTGAAGGTAAAGCTATTTAAATACTAACTGATCTCTCAGCAAAGGAGTCGCAAGATTGGCAAATACTGCAGAAAGTCATCTAGAAGTGGTTTTGCTGTCAGGTATGTGCTGATGATGGTAAAGACAAACTAGCTACGTGAAGTAAAAAGAGGGGTGAAAGCTTGGGAGCTTATGCTGCTGACCTGCGTCCTCCAACCCGCTTGGAGCACCCTCAATTCCCAGGACAGATCCAAGAGGAGCTAGCTGTCCAAGCCTTTATTCTGGGACTCCAGCCAAAATGTCTCGATGAACATGTGCGCCATTTGTCTCCCAGCATAATGACAACAGCCTTAGGTGAGGTAGAGCAAGTCAAGCATGTGCTGTGCCCAGAAGTTTGTCGGCACAATGAGCACCATCGAGTAAGACAGGTTGTCTATGGCAATAGTGATAAGGGGTTGGCTCACCAAGCTACTATTTCTACAACCTCATATGCTGCCGTACGAGGTGTGAGGTTGGTCACGTAGCCTTGGCTTGCTGGCTAAGTGAGGTGTGGTGGTAGATGTTCATGGATCCATGCATTGCCCGGGGACCAAAGCTGTGGTGCTCAAGGTGTTCAATGGGAAGAGTCTCAGCTGAAATAATTATATTTCAGCTGCTACAAAGACACCATCAAAGGCAGTGAGGAAAACAAGAGCAGTGAGAGACTCCAGCATGATCATCTCATCTCCAGTAAGATATTAAGTGTGCTCCTGCCCAGAGCACACACTAGCCCTGCAGCCAGGAATTGCAGAAGCCCCCACCTTGCAGCAGCTGTCGTGGGCACCATTATCAAAGACCCAGCATGCTTTGGAAGAGTTGTTGGAGTAGAGTAGTTTGGGTCTGAATGCAAAATAACAACAGCAACTTAAAAAATTGTTGAGTGAAATAAATTCAATTTAATTCACTTTATTTATATAGAGCCAAGTCACAACAGAAGTCATCTCAGGGCACTGAACAGAAATATTCATATGTAAAAATAAGTTAACAGAAACATCCGTACATAAAAATAATAATTTAAGACTGCTTTGAATGTAACTCCATCACAGAACTCTCATCTTGAGATCATCATCTGTTTTGTAAAATAAACATGCCCCTTTTTGCCAGTTCAGAATAAAAGGACGAGACAGGCCCTGGTTTATTCCTGAGCTAGCTGACCTCCTGTACAAGAGAGATCGGCTTTGAGATACAGCCCGACATTCTGGCTCAGACACTGACTGGTTGCATTTTGGACAGCTGCGGAATAAATGTACAGATCCATCAAAGCCACAAAATGTAATTATTTCTTATTTCAGACCTCCAAAAATCTAAATGATCCCAAAAGATTCTGGAAAGCCATCAAATCTCTCTCCGGCAGCTCTCGTTCATCTGATCTGTCATCACAACTTCTTGTTAACTCTGTTGTCTAATAAGCACGAGATCCTGAACTGTTTCAACAGACATTTTGTTGCTTCTAGTTCCTTGTTTGGCACAGTTACTAATGGAAAACCAGCTACTTCTCCTTTAAGCCAAACATATACAAATCAAATCCCTCCTACAAGTCAATCCTCAGTAAACCACACCTTTTCATTTTCATTGTTTTTAGTTAGTGAGGGGGCAGCACGGTGGCGCAACTGGTAGAGCCGCTGCCTCTCAGCGAGAAGGTCCTTGGTTCAAACCCTGGTCCAGGGGCCTTTCTGGGTGGAGTTTGCATGTTCTCTCCGTGCATGCGTGGGTTTTCTCCGGGTGCTCCGGTTTCCTCCCACAGACCAAAAACATGCATATTAGACTGATTGGTAACTCTAAATTGTCCCTAGGTGTGAGTGAGAGAGTGAATGGTTGTTGGTCTCGTTTGTATCTATGTGTCCCTGTGATGGACTTGCGACCCATCCAGGGTGTACCCCGCCCCTCGCACAGTGATTGCTGGACATGGGCACCAGCGACCCCCGTGACCCAAAATGGAATAAACGGGTAAAGATAATGGATGGATGGTTAGTGAGGTTAATAAATTGTTAAAAGGTCTAGATTTTAAAAAATCAGCAGGCCCTGATGACCTTCCACCTTATTTCTTAAGGCTGATCGCTCATATCATCGCAGTACTGGTGTCTCATGTCTTTAACCTGTCCATAAGTCTAAACTCCATTCCAAATCCATGGAAGACAGCCTTTGTTCGTCCTTTGCTGAAGGGAGGTGACCCCACCTCACTGAACAACTATTGACCAATCTCTAAACTCTGCATTTTAGCCAAGGTTCTAGAAGAACTGATAAACTCTCAAATCAAAAATTACCTGGACTCATTTAACATCTTACCTCCCCATCAATCTGGTTTCAGGAAACAACACAGCACAATGACTGCTTCACTGAAGGTTTTTAACAATGTTGTTGAAGCTTTGGATGCTAAGGATTATTGTGCTGCACTTTACTTAGACCTGTCTAAAACTTTTGATACGGTGGATCATGGCATCTTGTCATAAAGCTCTCAGTAATTGGTTTCGCAGATCATTGGTCCTCTAACTATCTCTCAGATCAGAGGCAATGTGTTGAACACAATGGTACTTCTTCCAGTATCTCACTGTTAATGGTGTACCACAAGGCTCAGTCTTAGGACCCACCCTCTTCACAGTCTACATAGGTAATGTAGGTCAGAGCATCTTTGGTGCATCCTTAAATTTCTATGCTGATGACACAGTTGTTTATTGTCGAGCTAAAACAGTTGCTAAGGTTTTCCAGCTTTTGCAATCTGCTTTTGATATCATCCAGTCAGATTTGTTCCGTCTCAAACTTGTCCTAAACGCCAACAAAACCAAAGGGATGCTTTTTTCAAACAGGAAGTCGATTCCAGCAGTTCTTCCTTTTATTTTATCTTCGAATGGTGCTCCTATTGAGTTTGTCAATTCTTACAAATACTTGGGTATCTTGGTTGATTCACATCTCTCTTTTAAGCCTCATGTCAAAAACTTGGTAAAGAAACTGAAAGTTAAACTGGGTTTCTTTTTGAGAAATAGATCCTGTCTAACTCTGAATGCTAGGAAATGCCTTGTAACTTTGACTTTCCTTCCCTCCATTGACTATGGAGACATTATTTACATGAACGCCCCTACAAGCACCCTGCAGATGTTGGACACTGTCTATCACGGTGTAATGTGTCTCACTGAAACACATCTTGAACAGCTGTAATATGTCAAACAGCTGTAACATGTCTCTTACTGCTGTAACACATGTTCATGTCTGGCTTCTTCTCTGCCTGACAGAGCTTTAACCAACATCTATGGAAGAACTGTGTTTCTCCTGAGCCCATGAAGCGACATCCAGAACATAACCAGAACTGGTTCAGTGGCCCATGAGGGATTGGGATTCATCCTTGGAGCTCAGATTTCTACAGATTCTTCGAATCTGTGGATCAAATTATGAACTGGAGATTATGGAGATTCAAAGACATCCATATTCTCTTATGAGGAACTTAATTTTAAAACTGCTCAAATCTTTGACAGTGTTTGCCCGACTCGTAAACCTCTGTTCATCACTGAAACTGTCTCGTTTTATACTCGTCATCTTTATTTATAGAGCACTTTTAAAACAGAAGCTGTTTCCAAAGTGCTTCACGATAACACCAATGAGAGTAAAATTAATGGAAAAATAACACACACTAATGATAATACTGAAAAAGTAATTGAAAGCAATAAAAACATAGGAACACAGAACAAAAAATGCTAAATCAACTCACACTGTGTGAAATGCCAGAGAAAACATAATTTAGCAGAGATTTGAAAACAGGAAGGCAGTCATGTCTATGTTGGGGGGCAGGTTGTTCCAGAGTTTGGGGCCCATGACTGAAAAAGCCCATCTCCTCTGAGCTTCAGTCTTTTTTTGGAACAGCCAAAAGCAGCTGATCGGATGATCTCAGGGCCTGAGACGGAACGTATGGTTTTAGTAGCTCAGCAAGATAAAGGGTTGTTTAGGATCTTATAGGTCAACAGAAGAATTTTGAATCTTTTCAGACAGGGAGCCAGTGAAGGGAGGACAGAACTGGTGTAATACGCTCAAACCTACAAGTTCCAGTTAAGTGCAGCAGCATTCTGGATGAGCTAAAGATGCGAGGCCTTATTAATACTCATACTAACAGTATTAGTTACTAAATTCTCCTCCAGCTGTTTCTGATTGAGCCACTTACTGTCTCATCTTTTCAAAATTAACTTTTTAATGATACATTTTTTATTCAAACATCTGGTGAACTTGCAAATGATTGCATTCTGTTGGGTCTTAAATAAAGTCAGACAGGTAATTAACCACGTGGTGAACATAAAGATGTTAACCTGAAGAAGCTGACTGTGTGAACTCCACCCAGCTTTATATTTTTAAACCCCCTCTTCATCACCAGAGTCAGTCCTGCTCAGGATCTCGTCCTCTGAGTCCAGCATCTGTCTCTGGTCCTGGTCTGGGAGGAGGTGGGGTCTCTCCGGGGTGTACGTGCAGACCGTGCAAACTGCCAACGACGTGAATGTCAGGAAAACCTCCATCTCCTGAACAGAGCCGCGCACTGACCGAGGATTATCTACCATCTCTGTGGATCAGGGTGATCAGAACCTCCAGCCCGGTCCGTGAACAGGGTCGGAACCGAGCCGAGCGGAGGGAGGTCGCCCCCTGAATGGCTTTGCGTAACGTTGAGATAAGAGGAGGTGTATTTGTGAATCGACTGGACTGCTTTCAGGGCTCTTGGGTCTACTTCAATCCTCGAAAGCATCCCGTTTTTTAGAGGATAAATCAGGAAAGTCCCGGAGGAGCTGAGGGGGTCTGTGGTGAGTCCGGATCTTTTTAATCCTCATGTTAGCTTCTGGCAACGCGGTTAAAATGATGCTGTCAGCTTTATCTCACTGTTTGCGTCTGAGACCGTTAGATGCTCATGAAAAGAACGTGTAGGTCTTCTGTGAGCTTTAAAAAGTAAACTTTGATTTGTTTTTGTTCGCTGAGGGCTCGGCTCCAGTCCACGATTCGTAGCTAAAGGGTTAGCGCTGCTAGCTAGCGAGGCTCACGCCCATTTATCGTGTCGAGCCTCAAAAAAACAAAAAAAGCAACGAACGGCTTAAAAAACGTGGAAAAACGTAAAGTTTACGGTTTTGAAGTCATCTTTTTGTCTCTGTTTGGTATTAACTAATAGTCAGAGTGGTTAATGACGTTCTGCCTGTCACAAGTCCAGAAAAAAAACAGCATACGCCGAGATTAAAGGCTCAGTTCATGATCACCCAGGCAGGAAAAACACTGAGATCCAGGCAGAAAAAATACTATCATC